TAACTTTCTTTACAGAGGTGCTATATATGACCTTCTGAAGTTTACAGTATTCAGCAATGCTAAATATCCAACACTTTTAATGTAGATACCTAAACATCAGTTTAATTCCATAAGTGTGCCTGCACAATTTTGAAATGTTGACCTTACGTTTTCTATGATTCCTTATTTATTTTAATAGCATCAGAGTGCTCTACCTCCCCTGTCATTTTCAGTAGTTTCAAAGAAATAAACATCTTCCACAGCTAGTAAATCTCAAAGCTATTATCAACATGTGGGAAATAAGTGTTGCCTAAGACATACTTACTCTAGGATGAGATTATTGCTTAAAGGTGATGATATTGTGGAATAATCCTTTTATAAGTGTTCTTTCATAAAAAGATATTTTTAGAAAAGAAAAAAAAGACAACCTTAAGAAAGCTGCAGGTATAAACCTCTATTTCTGCTTTTAGAACTGCTACTTTAGGCTTTAAAGTCTGTATTTCCACGCAATATCAAAACTGATTCATGCCTGTGGTTTGAAATAATTTTTAATACAAGGAAATTAATTTAAATTTTTTCTTATTATTTAGAAGTAAAGAATGCAGCTAGATCAAGTTACCCAAAATGTTCATATCAATTCAAGAATGCAACTACTAATGCATTGGTTGATGCCAAGTCCACTGAAGGAATCCCGGAACCTGTTCCACTTGTTAATAACCGTAAAGGGAGCCTCTTCCTACCCAACAACCCCTCGCTGCTGCACCTTAACTTACTGAGTTCTGTTGAACAAGGAAAATCTACGTACTGTAGATTGCAAAGGGCACTCAGCTTACCTGTAAAATACCGCTGCCACTCCCAAAAGCCTGGGTTGAACCAAGATCTCCGTAGGTAGCCCAGTAGTTGGATGTATAAGGCAATACAGATCGGTTTGTGCATGGTTTTGCAGTCTGTTTTCAATGTGACTATGACATTACTAATGCTCTGTTAAGTGCTTACAGATGTGGGTTTCTCCAGATGTGGTGATTAATAAGTTAATTGAGATAGCTAGTCAACTAATGTTTCTGGGTGGTTTGTGCTTTACCTTTCAAAGGATTTATTTGCTCTGAAGCATTTAAATGCTAGGCAGAATGAATTTACTGGCTATTCCAGCTAATGTGATGTTTGATAACATAGATGTTATTTCAAATTTCAGCATTTTTTAGGGCTTTAAAAAAGTGTCTGTAAACTAGTTCTGCTACTGGCCTGGGAGAGGCAGTGAAGTGGACAGTTTTATTTTATAAGTAGTAAGAAAATAACAATGAAAAAAAGTTATGAACTGGTCCACTGTTTCGAAATTTTTTTGCTTTAAAAATGAAATGAGGAGAAAAGTCAAGTAATATGTTGTTACAGATGTTCAACTCTACATTAAGGCTGTTAAAATCACCAGCACATCTTAAACCAATTCATGGAATATTGTCTGGAGGTTATGTCATTGAAGTAATGAACACTCTTTACTCAAGAATAAGCAAACATGTTTAAACATCAGTGTAATTTTAAATTAAAATCCAGCACAAACTGGAGCATCTGAAGACTCATTAGAATTGCCTGACATTTTTCTAGCACTGAGTCTTCCTGAGCTGCAAAACTGTTATTAGAACAAGTGAACTGTGGGTTGATACAACAGTACATTAAGTGTTGTAATTAGGGATGTACAAACAAGCTCTTGAATTTTGTTAGAACTCAGAGGCTGGATTGAGTTCCAAATCTATGAAATTCTGTGTCCAATTCTTAAATATATTTGCAATTTTCATGAAAGCTGGTAAAGAAAGTCTGCATAATATAATATGGCTGTATTCAATACAAATCCTGTAGCATAGACATGAAAAATAGTAAAAAATGGGGACTCATTAACAAAAGCAAGCATACAGTATCAGAGTTGAGTAGTCATATATCACAGCCCATTACTCAAATATGGTTGCCTTTCATAAGAACAACAAATTCAAGACTCCATTTTAAATTAATGCAGACACAGGAACCATGAAACTAAAATTATATTTAATTACTTTGCTAAAATTTTTTCTAGATCAATTTCTTTAAATATGCAGAAAATTGATAAGAGTATTTGAAGGATAATAATTAAATATCTTTTATATCCTACTTAATACTAAGAAACCACTTGTGAGTTATTTAAAAATTTTTGGGAACCAAGCCATAGGTAATGGTGTCCACTATATACTATTTACATATTTTAACTTCATGGATCCCCTTCCTCCATTCTTATGGAGCTGTGTTTCTAAAATACAGAAGCCCTCTGCACAGAGATTTCAACAAAAAGCAAGATCTTTTTTTTATGTGATATGATAAAGATAGATCTCCTTACATTGCTACAATGAGAATATATGGCTTCCTTGCTTGAGCAAGGCATTGCTTTAGCAACAAATTGTGATTCCTCAGAAGGCTTTGCTAACAGGTGTTAACTAGTGAGCCACATTAACCTTGGACTTTCCAGGCAATTGGTGACAGTGACCTAGTTTGAATATGACAATCACATATCCAAAAAAGGAACTTACTTATTGCAGATGCAATACCAAAAATAAGTGCAGACTCCTAGAAATGTACTTATTAGCTAGCTGAAAACTTGCAAAAGTACTCTTTTTTAATACTGTTTTCTCTTGTTCATAGAAATATTTCTTTCAGTAATATCTACAGTTGTCTTATGGTAATGTAAGATTTTGCACATGGTCTTGATGTCTATGGATCTTCCTTAGACTGTTAAAATAGTATAAAAATACCCTTGCAGTGGCATCTTGCATCTCTTGACAGACATTCTGTAAGTCCACGGTAGCAGATTAAAATAAGTAAAATTTAGAATCTTTACTACCAAGAGAGCAAAACAGATAATTTGTTAGTTTCTAGAAGGAACACTTTGCATGGTTCTTGTTCCTTTGATCTTGTAAGTGGTGGATTCATCAGATTGGAACTGAATATTTATATCTGATAAAGAACAAGAAAGCACAGTGTACATCTTGAAACCTATTGTCTGTGTGGAATAGCATATGAATTACTTCTTTTTTTTTTTTTTTTAGGGAAGTTTAAAACAAGATTAGACCGTTTCCAAGAGTGTTTTGCAGAGCATGTTCTGAAAAAGCACCAATGCTTGCCCTTTTTTTCAATCAGAAATATAAAGATATGAGCCATAAAATGATTCTGTGCATATTCACTTCATGGTACACATAGATAAAAACTGAAGTGTTCTTGTTTAATATGAACAAACTGTCACAGAAAGAAAATTTCAATCTGTATATTTTTGAGAATTTTCTATGGGCTTAGTTATCTTTCAGCCGAACAAAGAATGGCACTTGACTAATCATCAATAAGCATTTACACTAATAGACTCTAATCTGGAAAAAAAAGTCAAATGAGAAGAAAATGGCTTTATCTTTGGGGATGCTGCCCTAGAAGAGGAAAAAGTTAAGTTAGCGAATAAATCATTATTTGACAGTCCTTGTTCTGATCTAAATATTATTTCTTATACCACTCTTTGGGGCATTTATTTTGGGATTAACTTTGGTTGGTTGGTTTTTTCTGTATTCCCTTTACAATGCTTTCTTTGTTGTGAATCCCTTGTGCTTGGTGATACCAGGTCATATAAAATGAGAGCATATCTGTCTTTTCAGGGTCCAGTTTTTTGGTCTTGACCAAGGCAAAATGAAGTTCCATAACAGGCTTGGGCAAACAGACAGACATGGCAGGCTAGAAGGCAGTCTGTAATAAAATTGTGTCAGAACAGGGCTATAGCAGAAGGCTGTTGCTTTACTTTTTACAAGATAAGTCTAAGGCAGGTGACAGATAACCAGGTTTTGTTCTTTTTCCTATGTAGCTAGTTGCAAATAGTATTTTTTTCTCAGCCTCTGCTTATGCACTGCTAATGTGTACTAAGCTCTTTTAATATAGATACTACTACTACTAATGTCTTTCCTTTTAGCTTTAAAGTAACATCTTCCTAGGCATCAGTTATATTATCTTGTAGTATATTTTTCAGTTAATATTAGAAAAATTAAAAAAGTTTATTTTTCCTTCTTTATATTAGAATAGATCAACATTAGTGTGAATTTGAGAAAGCAGGTATAAGATTACTCCCTCTGATAGAACATGTAAAGTTTACATGCAGATTATCAAGTGCAGTTATAATCCTGAAATAACAAAGATGTTGGTTAATCCTTATAGATGAGTTCTTAGGAAACTGCACTTATGTAAGCAATACATATTGTGACATAAGTTATGCAAGAGTAGTTTATGACTGGCAAAGTGTACATGATTTTAATTCTAGAAATTGATTTGTCATTGAAAATGCACCTCATCCTCATTAAAAGATTGCATAACACATGCATACTCTGTTATCCAGGTATTGTCTCCCCACTTCCATTCAACCTCATTCTGTTCACTCCTGTTAAAACTCCCTTTTGTGAGAAGGGTAGAGCGATGAGGTCTGACTTGTGCTGGAGATCTGTGCACAATGGCAGGCTGCATTCACATTCCCGACGAACTGAATCATTGAACATCAAGGCATTGAATATTTTACATCTCTTCATGAAGACTCTGTTGTTTGGCATGTGAGGAGCAAGAACCAACTGGTGTCTAGTTCATTAGCAAAAGCAGGCTGGCAGCTGTTATGTTGATATTGCAAATAGTACTTTATCTGTCTGGAAATATAGCAGAGCACTAATTCTATTTTTCTGTAGCACAGATTAACTGATAATAACTCTAAGAATAACCTGAATGTGGTTCCCCCCCACCTTTGTTTTTGAAGTATGAAACCAATTTGAACACCTATGTTCAAAACCCTGATATTCTTCCCTGCTTCTCTTTCAAACCAATCTCTTCGACTAACATGTATTTGATTTTTATTACTGTTGGGCCTATGTTAGCCATGAAGTATCAGTGCGTGAATGGACATAGAGTGTGTGTTCTTTGCTACTTCAGTTGTATTTCACATTGCACTTAGAGCAGTACTTAATCTCATAAGTTCCTTATATTTCCAGTTGAAGATGAGCAGCCGTCGACACTATCACCCAAAAAAAAGCAGCGAAACGGAGGCATGAGAAATTCACCCAACTCCTCACCCAAGCTGATGAGGTAAGACTGTAAGAAACCCATATCTTCATCTCCTTTCTTCCTTCCTTCCACTTCTCCTCCCCCCACATCAAAAATAAGGGGAGGGGGGTGAAAAAAAGATTGTTAGATGGTTTCTGAAAGGCTGAAGTATTTATTCTGTCAGCTTGTCAGCAGTTAATGATAGAGCTGAAAAAAAATTCTGTCATGAAAAACAGTTTGAAAAGCTGTTTGAAAAATACATAGGCTTTAAAGTCTTAGCTGTCACCCTGTCCTGTCCATGTGTAGTTCTTAAACAGCAGTGGCACTAATGATAGCACTAACCAATCAGGGGAACTCATGTGGTTAGTTTGCCTCAGGCAATTCTCTTTTTGTTGGATTCCCTCTGAGTACTGTTTTCTGTACTTAAGGCCATATGTGAGATGTATCATCACAATCAAAAATGAACCTGAATATTACCTTCCTTTTATCCTGTCGATTGAAATCAAATTTCAGTTAATTGATTTAGACTGATAAAAAAGTCTAATAATATATGTACTTGCCAAAGCAAAGTTCAAAACTAACACAGTTTTAGTCAAGCTAAAAGCACATTAATTATGAAGTACAGGGATTTTTAAGAGGGTAGTATATACTCTAAAAGTGGGTGATGAAAACATCATCTTGTTAGTGATATTTTTCCCCTGTTGCTGTGTGTACATTATTTTAAAACAGTACTCCTTTGCATAACTATGTAGTTTCCTTCCACAGGACAAATTACCTTTAAGAGATTTGTTAAAATGAGAATTGTAAAAAGAAATTGGAATCTATTACAATAATATGGCATTTTCATTCTATCTCTCTGTGCTTCACCTTTTACCTGCTCAAGTCAGTCAGAATAGGATCACATTGTAGACACTCAGTTTTCTGCAAGGAGGCTGTTCGTGCTCTGATTTTGCATATCTTAGGCATTCAGGCTAGAACCTCAGTCCATAACTGTATCCATAAATACTTTAGCAGAGATTTTCCACTATGTGTGTGTGTGTGTGTATATACAGAAAAATGTAAACTTATTTATACATGTAAACAGATACATGCAATTTGAGATTTATGTGTGTGTATAGCTGTGATTGCTCAAGTGAAAAAAATGCATACAAATATATCGTTCTTTTCATATATAAAATCCCTCAGTACTTTTATTATGGACAATTATTTTGTTCCTTTAATGATTCTGGATAACAGCTAGGCGATGTTTTTCTTTGTATTTCAATTACTAGGCTGGGATTTTCTTTGGCCAGTTACAGAAGCATCCATATTTGTTTATTGTTTCTGCGATGTAGGGCATATTCAAGGACGTAACTTCTACAAGTCGTCCTCATCTCTGTTTAGACTACAGAACCAAAAGTGAGATTGATTCACAGAAGAAAATGCACCCAACTGTAGCTTTTTTTTTCCTATTTACCATCTATTTCTGTTAAATGTATCATTAAAAGCTCTCTGCCTTCCTGTTAGCTCAGCCTTGTCCATATGACACTGATTTACATGCTTGTTTACAGTTTATGAGGAAGAATAAAATGAGCATACTGGCAAACTTCTCATTTTTATGGTGCCAGTTGTCATGCTAGCATCGTTTTCAATTTGCTTACCTTTGGACAGTCCTCTTATCTCCTTTTAATAGTTTTAACCGCTTAAAATTTAAACATGTGGGAGATTCCCCCCCTCACCTTCCCCCAAACCCTAATTTTGGGGAAGTAGAAGTAAAAAGAAAGAGAGGGGGAGAGAGAGAGAGAGTGAAAGAGCTGAAGCATTTGGAGCTGAACACACTGTCCCTGTTTGCTATGTAAAGTATGCCTCATTTCTTTGATCTTGAGTAATAATAATTCTGGGGAGTTATACTGTTTTCATATGCTTCAAAGCTGTGTCAAAGTTTTGCTGCTTAAGGGTACTTCTTTATTCTATTGGCTCTTGGGTACTGAGATGACAGGTCCTCTGTACTAGGTGCAGGCTTTTTCAAGTCATAGCCTTCAGCAAAACATCAAATTACCAAATACAGGGTAACATACTTCTACACAAATGCCTTTCCTGTAGATATATTATACCATATATATTAAATACTTTAGTGTTACACGGTACATTTTATGTGCAATAGAAAGTGATGGTTTGAGGTAGCCTTAGGGGTACTTTTTTCCACAAGCAGAAAAAGCTAGTGTATACCGTATCAAGTATGGTTTTTACAGGACTTTCTGCCCGAAGGCCTTTGTAAATAAGTAATGATCAACAGATTGGCTGTGGGTTTTTGAAAAGCATGCCTGTGTCAGTTTGCATGATGGGGGAAGATTTTCAAAGTAGAGCCTGCTTTCATTGCCTGCTGAAGAGGGACTGAGGGAGAGTAGTCGTCCTGAGCCTGAGCTGTCTGCTCAGTAGCACATCAGAATTGCTAAACACAGGTTGAGCAGTGAGTGGAGAACTTGCCAGGCTTCCAAATTCAGACATTGTTTTCTTCTTTTTCTTCACTGCTGCTAAATTTATTCTCCAGCCCTGTGTTCGCACCCTCAGCCTCTCCCCAGACCCAACAGTCTCTTCATTTTACTCTTTATCTACACTGACTTAACTTTGGTTCAAGGTGCTAAATAAGACAAAATGGATTGAATCAGAAGAGAGCTCTGTTAAGCTTTGTTTGTAATGGTCAAACTCTTTTTTTCTTTCCAATAACAAAAGTGGACTGTATTATCTGCTATTTTGTATCCTCGTAATTTACCTAAAGTGACAGGTACTTGCTTTCCTGTCCAGAAATCTTTAGTGTATAGCAGCTAGAAGTACCCAAGAGGTAAATCTGTCATGTCTGTAGCTGATATTTATCTTTGCAAGTTTTTTCCTAAATTTACTTTAAAAGCTCCTTTTCAGAGTCAGTTTTGACCCTGTTCCACCTGCCTTGAAACAGATGGCTACTTTGCAAATTTTACTTCAGCTATGGTCCTGGATCTAGAAGGGTGCTGGAGGACAAGAAGTCTGGAGCATGAAAAGGACAAATATATGAAAAGTTCGTTTATAAATTTTAATCTCAATTGTGACTTTTGAATCACGCTCTGAGCATCCCTGCAGTTAAGATAATGTTCAAAATGCTGCATAGATTTTGACCACAGTAGCTAGGTCAAATCAGGGAAGAAGGTATTATGCTATGGGATAAAACTTTGTGACTTCTGCTATCATTGCAGCAGAACAGACAATAGAAACTGTACCACAGGAATTCCCAGGGACATCATGACAAGTGGTCTGACCTGGTCAGAAAATGGGAGTTTTTGAGATTTACTCACACATAAGTAGAAAGTTGTATACCAAATGTGAACCAGATAAATAGATTGGAGGCATCTTTTTAATGTCATCTTCTTGATGACTCTAAATTACAATAAATTACTGCTATAAATAGATGATTGACATACAAGTGCTCTTTGTGTACATCACAGGTGGTCTAAATTCACATTTAGAAAGTCACTCTTCTAACTGAATCCTGCATCACATCAAATGACATGAGCAGAATCACACTGATGCAATACTAGAAGAGTCTAATCAATCAGAAACAAATACTTCAAATTCCAACAATAGATACAAATGCAAATTAACCAGAAAAATACTCTGCATTGTCACGGTTATTTTTACCTGTCTCACATCAGCAAAAGTCTGTCCCATTAAACTCACAAGAATATGGATATTCTTAAAAATAACTTAAACTCCAACAGGAAAAAATAGCTACTTCTCCTGTTGAGATGTGAACACAAGGACATCCTATTACAATAAAAAGTACAATTTAAATGGAAGGAAAAGGAAGGAAAGCTGTGAGTGACAGAGTAATCACATATCAGGTCTCCTTCATGAGACAGAGAAGAAAAGTAGAACCAATCGATGCCTCTCATGTCATGTACCAGTATCAGTCACCTGTTCATCTCAGTTGCAGGTTTTGATGCATATTATTGATGAGGAGCCATGTTAACTATGAGGAGGCTATGTTGCCTGAATATCAAATAGCAAAGCTAGTTTTAAAAAAAATACATCATTTTGCATTCAGAATGACCAGTAAAAATGTGAAAGGCCTGGATATAAATCAAAAAAGCCACTTAAAGGGATTGTTGCTGAGGCTCAAGTCCATACTTAATGCTTTTCTAGCTGCTACTGCATGAGTGGAATACACTGACTTGAAGGAAATGTCAGCCCAGCTGAGTCAAACTACCTCTTAATGCAAGAACAAATAGCATATGACAGGGCCCAAGGGGCCTGAAGAGCAAACAAATAGTTTGTCCCTGTCCACTCTGTATGTAGTGGTGTAGTTGACATAGGCCTCTAGACAAGTAGCATACTCAGCAAAGGGTCATTATCATTAGTGTCCCTGATCACATAAGAATCAGAGGCATCAGAGGACACTGGGTTTTCAGTGTGTTGCCAAGGAGAATTTCGTAAGCCCGAGGATTTTTTTTGATCGAGGATCTTAAATAATTCCCAACCAAACCATAAAACTTGCTCAGAGACTGTCGAAACCCAGCTAAGTGACACAGAAAAAAAGTGAGCTCTTTGGCACACATTTCCAGAAGCCTAATGAGATTATTTATCTGAAGTTGAGAAGGAAACCTCCTGTCTTTTTTCCTGAAGTTGGATATAATATTCTAAGTATATGAACAATGGCTGTGCACATTTATCTCCTCATCCACCCACTAAGCCACATCCACTTAAATGTACATATACATTTCTGCTCGTGTGCCACTCAGGATGAATCTGCATTGCTCCTACCATTGTAGTGCTGCCCTTCCACAAGCTGAAACTGTGAACTTTCTCACAGAAACCAAAAGAAAAGTGATGACAAATCTAGAGGGAAACATTTCTCAAGCCGAAACTGGTAAAATAATTTCAATCCGATCATTTCCCATGACTCCCTTAAACTAGGCATGAAGGTAAGGTTTGAAAAGGTGAAAGCTCACCGATTAACCATAATAATGGTATATATTTACATCTCTCAGCCTTGGAAATTTCCATCATGTACTCTCAAATTTATATCCTGC